TTTTTTTTTTTTTTTTGTACTGGGGATTGAACTCGGGACCTTGTGCTTACGAAGCAGGCGGTGGTCGAAAACATATTTTTACACCCGTGTTCATAGCAGTGTTATTTACAACCATGAAGACTCAGAAACAATTGGAGGATCCTCTACCTGATGAATGGATAAATGAGTGTGTGCATTCATACAAGGGACTGTTACTCAGCCTTAAAAAGGGAGACTTTGGGGGCCCGGGATTTGGCTCAGTGGTTCCACCGCCTACCTCGCAAGTGCAAGGGCCTGAGTTTGATCCCTGCTACCAAAAAAAACACGAGATGCCAACATAAACTACAGCAGCACAGAACTTAAGTACATTATGGTAGGTGAGACAAGCCAGTCATAGAGACATGGTTCTACTTGTAGGAGGTACTTAGAATACTTACATTCAGAGACGGAAAGTACAATGGTGGTGGGGCTGAGGAGGGAGGAATGAGGGGTGATTGTTTAACAGGTTCAGAATTTCAGTTTTACAAAATGGAGAATACCGGGGAAGGGTGGTGATAATGTTTAATAACACAAGATATGGAGCACACCTGTAATCCCAGCACTCGGGAGGCTGAGGCAGGAGGATTACTGTGAGTTCGAGACCAGCCTGGGCTACCTAGTGAGTTCCAGGTCAGTCTCGACTACATAGTGAGACCCTGTCTCCAAAAAAAAAAAACAAAAAACCAAATATATCTAACATCACTGAAATGCATACTTTAAAACTGTTAAGATAGAAAATTCTATGCTATATGTATTTCACTACAAAAATCCATAAAAACATAAACAGGAGCAGATGTTGTTCCGCTTGCTTCAGGTCCCAGTGTATCTTGGCGTGCCTCTGTTGGATTTTGAAATTTGTTCATTGTGGAATTTTTTTGGCATTAATTCTGATTTTTAAAATTCTTTCATTGTTACATTATTTATCCTGCTTGCTGGATGTTTGGGCCATAGCCTTAACTTTTGCACCTCACAACGAGTACCTCACCTGACTTGCCCAAACACTTGCCAAAATTATGTTCCGGTTTCAAGAGCTTCCATGATTCTTCATCACCTTCTGGAAAAAGTCAAGCCCTGGGCACCTGCCCACTGTCTCCTCAACCCTCTTCCCCCTTGCCTGCTCCTGCTCCCTTGAGCTCCTGTGGTCACAGATCCACATTACCAGGCCTTACATAGTCTATAATCCCTGCAAGAATGAGTCTCCACCTCAAAACTCTCTCTTGATCCAAAACTGCCCCACAGTACATTTCCCATAGCCACCAAGAGGCACAAGTTTGCCCATATACCCAAGAATACCCCTCTCCATGTCCAGCCTAGCACTGGAAGGCACCATCTTCCCATTTCATGTCCAGCCTAGCACTGGACATTTAAGAAATGTCCAGGACAAGCCAGGCATGGTATCACATGCCTGTAATCCCAGCACTCAGGAGGATGAGGCAGGAGGATCACTGTGAGTTCAACACCAGCCTGGGCTACATAGAGAGTTCTAGGTCAGTCTCAACTACATAGTGAGACCTTGTCTCAAAAAAAACCAAAACAAATAAAAAAGAAAGTGTCCAGGACTCACGATAATCACACCACCCAGAAAGAACATCTGGGATCTGGTGCAAAGGTTTATTGCTGAGTCTGTGCACCTATGGGAAGTGTTGATTGTGCTCTGGCTTTGCCAGATGAAAGTTCCTTTTCCCCAGCTGCAGCACAGCCCCAGCCCATGGGCATAAGCAAAGACTTAATGCTTGATGAGGAGGGAGCAGGAAGGTGAGGGACATAAGCCCTTGTCCCTGATAGTCCAGGGATGACCCTTGGTGTTCCCTACCAAGGAACGGCCCTTGAACGGAGAGGGTGAGAAGTACTGCTGGAAGGGACAAGAGTCACTTGGGTTTGCCTTTAACCCATAGGAGGTAGATTTCTTTGGACACAGCCTGGGCTCTGTCCTATCCTCCATCCTCTTCTGCCTGGGGCTGATCAATAGGAACTGGACTCTGCCCCAGCCACCCCTCAGCACTGCTTGACTATTGGGCACCGCTGGTGTCAACAGTACCCTCCCTCAACACACCATTCCCTTGGCCAGTCATCCCGGAGTACTGTGTGAGGGTGGGTGAGGTGGGGCACAGATCTGGGATCCAAGGACAGAGAGGCAGATCTGGAGGGGGAAGGGGAGCATTCTGAGACTGGTATTTGGAGGGAGGGAGGGTCCAGCTTATGTCTCCTCTAACATCCAGGGCCTCTCGGATCCACCTCCCTAGTCACTAATTTATCTGTGCAGGGGCTGCACAAACCAGAGCTAGCTTGGACTTTGGACCCTCTAAGCTATGGGAAGGGACAGTCTCTGGCCACTGTTAGATAGGCAAATGTCAGACTTATCACATGGAGGTGGCAGGGCTGGACTGGGCTGCTTGGGGGAGGGATACTGCAAAGCCTTCATGAAACTGTCAGAGGGCCATTTGGTGAACCCAGCCCTGCCAGATGAGTCGTGGGCTCCAGGGGGCAAGAGAACTGTAGGTTAGTCAGATGGCCACTGCTGAGTCACTGTCAACTCCACTGGCCCTGAGTCCTGCTGTGTCTTAGCTGGGGCTGACAGCTGTGGGACCAAGAGGCCAAAGTGGCCAGGCAGTGAAGGGTAGGGCTGGGTCAGGGAGCCCAGGGGAGGGTCTGTGCTGCAAGGCTCAGGGCTCTGGGACTGTATTTGGAGGGGCAGCAGGTGTGGGCCCAGGAATCCTGGAGGGCTGATAGGCAGGTGTGGCTTGGGGCTATGAGGCAGCTAGGGCTATAGGTTCTCAGAGCAAGGGACCCACAGGAGTTCAGGCACCTATGAGGAGGAAAGAGAACCAAGTCACCATCCCCGAGACGAAGTGTAAAGTAGGTTCAAGCATCGTCGGGGGGAGGGGGCACAGCCCTGAACACTGGGACACTTAGGGGTCTAGGGAGGGGTCAAAGGAGATTAAATGGGCAGGGCTTAGGAGCCAGGGGAGGGGCCTGCCTATTGTGGCAGGGAGTGGAGCCTGAGGAGTTGAAGTGGGGCCTGGAAGCCATTGGGTGGGAATTTGGAGGAAGGTCAGGGAGCCGGGCAGAGTCTGCAGTAGAGAGAGGCTGCGGGCAGGGCTGCGGTTTGAGACTCAGGGAAGGAGATGGAAGTGTTTTGCCTGGAAGACCCCACCTCAGAAGAGGCCACAGTCTTTGAGGTTCTCTTTGATAATGATGTCGGTGACAGCGTCGAAGACAAATTTGACGTTCTGCGTGTCAGTAGCACACGTCATGTGGGAGTAGATCTCCTTCACGTCGCGCCGCATGTTGAGCTCCAGGAACTGCACCTTGATGTAGTTGCCCGCGTCCTCATATGTGTTAGGCCCTGTGCAGAGCGGAGCGCTCGCTTGTGGCAGTAGCCCGCCGCCCCCGAGGGAGGAACCAACTGCAGGCTGGGGCAACGCCTGGCTGCCGGGCCTGGCGCTCACCGCCGTAGTCTGGGAAGCAGATGCTGAGGTGTGCCTTCTTGATCTTCTCCGAAAAGACGTCCTTCTTGTTGAGGAAGAGCACGATGGACGTGGTGGCGAAGTAGCGGTGGTTGCAGATGCTGTTGAACAGGTGCAGGCTCTCGTGCATGCGGTTCTGGGGAGGACAACAGCTGCTGAGCACAGTTGGCACAGGCAGTGCTGCCCACAGGCCAGCAAGGGTCTAGATCTCGGGATCACACCAGGCCTGGATGCAGGCTGTCTGCTCACCTTTGCATTTCACCCTCCCCAGGCCCTGCACGGAACTCACCACTTCGTCGTCTTCCACCAGCACCATGTCGTAGGCGCTTAGTGCCGCGATGAAAATGATGCAGGTCACCCCCTCAAAACAGTGGATCCACTTCTTGCGCTCCGAGCGCTGTCCACCCACATCGAACATCCTGCGAGGCCTGAGCTTGAACCCTCGCCCTGCCCTCCTAGATGCCCCTGTGTTCTTGCCCACCCTCCCTCCCCTTGACCTGGAGCTGGGAGGCGGGTACCAAGAGGGGCCGAGGTCTTTTCTTGGCAGGCAGGGACCTGGCACTTCCCATACTGTGCGGGGGCGGGCCGTACCGGAAGTTGAGGTCCTTAAAGGAAAACTGTGTCTCGATGATGCCAGTGGTCTTAACACGCGAGCGCAGTACATCCTGCTCAGTGGGCACATAACCTGGGGTTACCAGGCGCTCCAGGTCTGAGAGGTAGCTGTGGAGACACCAGGATGGGTAACTGGGTGGGGGGTCGTGGGTGCAGCACCCAACCTCCTACCCTGCCCACCCACTCACTAGCCCGCTGAGTCGTTCAGCTGGTACTCAGAGGCACGCTCGAAGCAGGCCTGGATGCCCGGGTCCTTCCACAGCCGCTGGATGATGTCTGACATCTCCTTGGGCATTGTGCCTTCCTCAATGGTGTCTGCCATGTGCATCAGCTTCCGGGCATCATCCTGGGGCAGGGTTGGAGAGGGAGGTGGTGACAAGGGACTCCAGGATAGTCAGATGCTTGCATCCTCAGGCCCCACCAGCCTGCCTTCTGGCACACCTGGCGTGCCGAGTCTCCATACTGGATGTTGAGTGTGGTCATGGCCCGCACAATAGCCAGGATGGACTGCAGCGTGTTGCCATAGATGATGGCAATGAACTCAAGGCACTCCTCCAGTGAGTACCCATCCTGGTGGATAATCCTGGGGCCAGAAGAAGCAGGGTCAGCTTGTAGGCAGATGGTGCAGGGCAAGCCCCAGTGTGCACCCACTCCAGGGTCCTTGGGACGGACAGGGCACTTACTTCATCTGCTTGACGATGGTGCTCTTTCCAGACTCACCAGCACCTGAAAGAGAAGCCAACGCCCCAACACTGACTTCTGACCTAACAGGGAGATGTGAAGATGAGTTGGCTGGTAGACCCCCAGCCTAGGTGCCACCATCTAGACCCTGAGTGACTCCTGCCCTCACCCCCATCCACAGTGAGGTCCTGTAGGCGGGTGTGGTATTGCACCTCTGTAATTTCAGCTCTTTGGGAGGCTGAGACAGGAGGATGAAAAATTCAAGCCCAGTGCCAGGGATGTGGCTCAGTGGTACAGCACCTGTCTGGCAAGCCTGAGGCCCTGAGTTCAATTCCTGGTACCAAAAAAGAAAAGAAAAAGAAATTCAAGCCCAGAATGGACAACTTAGAGACTTAATGATCTCAAAATTTAAAACATTTAAAAAGGATGTACCTCAATGTGAAAGCTCTGGGTTCAATTCCCAATTAAAAAACAAAAAAAGTAAGGTCCTGACACCTTGTCAGAAAAATGTTTGCAAAAATGTCAGAAAATGAACAGGGGCTGAGGATTTAGCTCAGTGGTGCCACCACCTGCCTTGCAAGCTCAAGGACCCGAGTTAGATCCCCGGTACCAAGAAAAAAGAAAAAAAAAGAGAAAGAAAAAGAAAGGAGAGAGAGAGAGAGAGAGAGAGAGAGAGAGAGAGAGAGAGAGAGAGAGAGAGAGAGAGAAAGAA